TTTTCTGTAAATTGCCTACGAAAAAAATCCATATTGAAAACTCATTGCGGAAGACTAGACAACAAACCCAGTCCCGTTCTACCTAATCGTCTTCCGTTTGTATTTTGCTTTCGTACTCAGAAATGCGGGTTTACTCTTTGCAAATAATGCAATTTACAATAAAAGCATCATTCATCAGTTTTTCACACACGCGCATTTGGCTGGCAGAAAGCATTTTTCCACATGATAGATCTACGATATTCCATTCCAATGCGCCTCGCATGCAATGCAAATTAATCATAAAATACAATAGGTACCTACACGGTACAAATCGTGTTCAGTGTGGATACTTAGAAAGTAACTAGCTGCCACGGTGCACTTTGCGCCATATTTACTTAGTAACAAGCCGTGAGAAGTTCGCTCATAGTCCTACACAAACTAAAGCAGCTGCGAGTGAGAAATTTACTTATTAACCGAGCTTGCAGAATGAGATATTTAAGGGGTCCGCCGCAATTTAGGACATCCAATTTGTTATGTACGTTGTACTCCTTAATGTGGAGGGTGCCGTTCGACATTCAGAATCTTACGGCCACGACTACAGCGACGACGCAAAAATTAATATTCATGGGCATAAATAAAATATTGAAAGATACTTTATATTTATGAAGGTCCGTGTGTTTGTAGATTTATTCGGTGTACATGTCGAAAGCGACGTAGAAAGCCTGAAAAGGGAAAACGGTAAATAGTAAGTTATTCGCTGTATTATCAGAAGCACCACACTCGTTGGGCGGCATGCACGCAATAAGGTTTACCTGTATAATCCCCGCGCCGTCCTATCAGCATTACTTAAACAGTAGACCCTAATTTTGTGCTGTACAAGACATTAGTCAACCAAAATCGAGGGCCACGCACGTTCGGGCTCCCGTCAGGTGTTTTGTGGCCTCACGGCCATTAGCCAGCGATACCCGGCCAGGGATCGCTTGTCGATACCGCGGCTAATCGCTCCCCTGGGCGCCGACCCCTGTCCGCCCGCATTAGCCTGAATCGCACGTCCTCGCCTCGCTAACTTGATGTAAACGGGTACATGTCGAAAGCAACGGTCCCTTGTTGGCAGTTAAGATTTTTCCCCAAGTAGATATGTAAATGGTTCTGCGGTACCGCCGCCTAAAGAACATTGATGGATGCTGCTATTACGATGATATGCTTTTTGCGTCAATATGTTCAGAATGCTTATAATGTGTATTTAAGGGGTTTGAAAATTGCGAATTCTGTTAAGACGGCACCTGCTTAGGTTCGCATAACACTTCACGAGTGTGTGTCGGTACCACCCTGCTATAAAAAAGTAAAGAAGCGCATGAATATGCAAAAATATAAAAAGTAAATTGAGAAACCAAAAAGGCTGAAGATAAAGTATCCATGTCAATTAGTGGCCTGGTGGGCAGAGGGTCTCTATGAAGTCTAAGCTCGCGAGTTCTGTCCCGATTCATTTGCTCTTTGGAATTGCACAAATTTGTTTAATCATCTATTCGTTTTTGATCAATATATATAGAGTCTAAAATAGATAATAATAAAAAAATAGAAGTTATAAATATATTTTTCTTGTATACAGGCCGTTATGATAAGGGTGCAAATCAACGATATCTATAAGTACTAGGTGCAAATGAGTTACAAAGTTCTTATAATAATACAAAAAATATATTCTTTAAGTACGTATTCGTAAAGTGCCTTCCTCCACATTTGTACGAAATCAAATTACATATCAAACAGATGTGGACCGATACCTGAAAATGCGCTCCTCCAATTCACAGGTACCTACACAAATAATTACATTCTCATCCGATATTATGCAGACGCTCGTTCGACGCCGACGCTCTCGCACTGCTACCTGTCGCTCTCGACAGATTCTATTCACTCGCTCATTCGCTCAATCACTCACTCGCTCGCGAGTCGATGCACGCCTTTATGCAGAATTATTGAATTTCGAACTCAAATAGCGCGGCCGGAGTGAAGATAAAATCCATTTGCGAAAATATTTATTATACTCACTTCGTTGAAAATGGATGGTTGAATCCAATATAATATAAGATCATTGGTTGAATCTAATAAACTTGACGCAGATTTATAGGCACATACATTTATTACATTTTGTTTATGTTTTAAACGTGTCATAAAATAAATGTGACTTGAGTTTGTTAATTTTTTTTACAATCAACATTTAAAATTATGAATTTAATTTGAACGTACCTTTTACTTCCCAAAATATCCAGATTCATAAGATTGGAAAAGTTAATTTTCAAATAATTGGTCGTATTTGAACCAAAAACTCGACATCTTTTTATCTTACGGCTATAAACCGTTAGAAAAGCGAGGGTGTTTCAATAATTCCAACAAATCAAGAGAAGAGGTGTTATTGTTTTACTTTACCTGGCAGTGGCGAGGCGTGAAAATTTTCGTTGCTAAAGCCGTTTAAAATAAATCTCCTATATTTACAAAAACTTCTTTTGTTTCGTAATGGTGTTGATGCAACTCCTCGTTGTTAGGGCATACCATCTTTACGATACTTGTCATCCACCACTGATGTTACATAAGCAGTGCATGTCGAGTATGCAAAAGTGGCTTTGAAAAAAGCCGTTTGTGCAGCGTTCACATCACACAGGTTAGTAACAACAACAAATGCACATTCACGAGCATAAAAAAGTTAAAAAATTAAAATCCGAGACCAGTAAAATTTAACTCCCTGCACTTAGCATCATGCACCAGTAGATATATAATGCTTCTTTTAAACATAGGTTTATTAAAATTATAGATTGTAATGTTAATGTGGTAAAAATCTGCATTAAACACACGTTACGTCACACGTCGTCAAAATGAAACATTTATACCCCTTAAATAAATCAAAATTAAAAAAAACCTTAGCGTATCTATATATATATATATATATATATTAACGCTTTATCTGTTTTGAGTGTCGTTCCGCATTATTCAATTCAATTGTTTATATACATATATATATATACACATATACACATATACACATTATATATATATATATATATATATATTAAATGCAATAAAGAATTGAATTGAATAATGCGGAACGACACTCAAAACAGACAAAGCGTTAATCTAACTATCTTACACACATGCATATAAAGAAAAAAGAATAATGTAGGCTCGGCAAATCATCCCCTATGAAAAAAACATGCAAAATTAAACAGAATGATTAACCCAGATTGACAAACTGTAGTGTTACCTTTTTATATCGTATTTTTGTCGCTACACGATAAAACACGACAAATCCGTTAGTATGCCAGACCCCACCAATTTCAGACCTATTTCACTACTACTCTCTACTACTATTTGAAAAATGATTCTAAATCAGATGTGTGCACATTTTTATAGTAATAACTTAATATCTCCTAAACAATTTCGTTTTACTCGGGGTCGCTCTACAACCGATGCTGGTGTTGAGTTGATGAAACATATATTTGATGCATGGGAAGACTCACATGATGCTATTGGTGTATTCTGTAACCTTTCCAAGGCTTTTGATTGTGTGCACCATGATACACTGGTCAGGAAACTTCGTCATTATGGTGTGGCGGGACGTGACGTCGACCTTTTTATATCGTATTTGCGTGGTAGGGTACAGAGGGTCGATGTTAACGGTACGAGATTATCAGGGTCAGCAATTAGCATGGGTGTCCCTCAATGTTCAATTCTAGGCCCATTTTTGTTTTTAGTTTGTATTAATGACTTACCTAGCCTCATGGAGGGAATAAAATATGAGATAGTATTATTTGCTGATGATAGTTCCTTATTATTAAAAGTTAAAAGGCTCCAATGTTCCTACGACGATGTGAACAATGCTATATCTAAAGTAGTTGATTGGTTTGTTGTTAATAACCTACTCCTTAATGAGAAAAAAACAAATTGTGTAAAATTTACATGACCCAATGTTAGAGAGACGGTTACCAACATTGTAGTCAGAAGCGGAAAATTGAATCTTGTCGGTACAGTTGTATTTCTAGGTATAACGTCAGATGCTAAATTGCAATGGGGTCCATAGGGATACACTTATCTATATATACTTATATAGATAAGTATGTAAGTTATGTAGATAATCTATAGAAATAAATTATATAGATAAGTATGTAAGTTATCAAAGCGGCTCGGCTCTACAGTGTATGCGATTAAAAAAATACGGAAACTTTCAGACGTAGAAATCGCTAGATTGGTTTACTTCAGATACTTTCACAGTCTAATGACGTACGGCATTTTGCTTTGGGGCAATGCCGCCGATATCAATAGAATCTTTGTCCTGTAGAAACGTGCGGTTAGGGCAATTTACAATCTGGGGCCCAGAGTATCTTTGAGAGATAAGTTTAAGGAAATTAACACTCTTACACTAGCCTCACAGTACATTTATGAAAATGTAATTTATGTTAAGGGGAGTAGTCATTTCTTTATGAAAAATAGTGACAGATATAACATTAATACGAGGAATAAAAATAAACTGGCTGTTCTTGATAGTCGTCTTCACAATTCATTTAAGGGGCAATGTACACGCTTCTATAACAAGATTCAGGTTGATACACAAAATTTGCCTTTTACGAGGTTTAAAACTACAGAGAAACAAAAACATTGTACTGAAGGTTATTATACAAATTCTGCGTATTTGGATGACACAAATTGGATGGTAATAACCCGTTTAGCTTATGGTGGTAGACTCGATCTCTGATGTTTGAAAGCAAAAAAAATATTGTAAATGTTGAATGTGTACAAATGTTATTTACAAAGAGCAACCGCTAGAGTTTCTTAAGAAACTCTAAGGCAGATGCCTTACGAATCAGCGGTGGAGTTTAACCAATGTGACGATTTCAAGTGTAATAATGCTTACCTATGAAATAAAGATTATTTTGAATTTGAATTTGAATTTAATAATACATTATCACGCAAAAAGCTGTAATTTTAAATACATACCGCATTGTCAGAAAATTCATGCATATGGAAGGGGACGAAGTGGAATCATAATACACATCCATCACATACTCGTAGATACATGCCATACTGCATTTATTTGCTTTCGGTCCGTAATTGTGGTTCAAACATCGAGCATATAACCAGAACTTGATTGGTTCAAACCAGCTAACAGGAAAAATAAAGATCATAATAACAATTTAAAAATTCAAAATGAATCTTTTACACCTTGGGAGAGGAGAGAGTCTAAAATAATAATAATAAATTCTTTATTTTCTCACCACAATACAATACAGTGAACATAATAAAAGTTACAAACTTGGTTACATTGTTGAATTTTTTTTCCATTGAAATTATACCAAATTTGATTCCTATACGGCGTGTAGGTACAAATTTGCTTCACGACCGGAAAACGATCTTCTGCGATGCAACCGACACGGGAAGGGTAAAAAAATGTGACATAGATGACGATATCTTTGTACTTTGGACACAGATTTAGTAGTTGAGATTGGATTTGTTAGAAGCTCGTGCGATTCCAAATCAGCGAATAAGCGACACGGAAAACAAAACAATTTGTTTAATTTGCAGCTGCCCCGGTCAGCCAATTATATTTGTCATTTGTTGTATAAGTACTGTGAGACTTTGAACAAACCGTTTTTCCGCCTGTAATCAAGTTTTATCTCTGGGCCATCACGGCCTTGCTTAATAACATGTTTTTTTTTTGTTTCCAAAGGATAACTTTGAAAATCATGTTGCTTCATTAAGCAAGTAATCAACGAAACAAGAATCAAATTGGCTATTTACAATTACATGTATACTATAGTACAGAAAAAACAAAGCTCACCTGTACAATACTAAGGGTCGTATTCTAGAACTCTATTCAATGCTCAAGTCAGGATTGCAATTGAAACACAAGCACTGGAAAAACGACACTAATGGCAGGGATTTGAGTATAATTTCGAGTGCTTTAAACCATACTCAAATTCTGACTTGAGCATTGAGTAGAGTTCTAGAATACGACCCTAACACTCGAGAGTTGAAATTAATGGGTCTCCCACACACACTAATCCTCAATATTATAATCTATAATATCAATATTAACTAGCAGAGACTCGTAGTTTTTATAATAAAAATTATTGATATATTCGAAAATAAATGAGAAGAAACAGGTTTTCTAGGTTAGGAACGCACGGCATATGGTTGTCGCGGCAAAATTTAAAAAATAACACAAAATAATAAACATTCTCGTAAAAAGATATATATGGAGGAACGAAACTGGTATTGTATTTTAATTTTTTAATCATGTGTGTCTCGACGATTACGTAATAAATTATTCTTAATCTTAGTCAATTATGTTGCACTTGGGGTGCACATTTCTAATATCAACGTAATTAAAATCCTGTAGTAATTGTAGCGTGCATAGCATACTATGTTGGTGGTTTCTAAATTGATCTATGGACGTGCAGATTAGATTACTTATCGGGATTATTTTGCGAATGTTAAAAATTAAGTAAGTATCGATTTAAAAATTATAACGAGCTGTATAATGATTACTAATAAAGTCCTAGTCTAACAACATTGTAACTTTTATTTACACTTTTACAGGGAAGATTCTTTACTAAAATGTATCCTTACTTTATCTAGAGCCTTAGATCTGTGAGAAATTTTATTTTTCTCCTCACTAGGCAACTCTGCATATGTATTGACATAACCATTTGGTTCAAACACATAGCCCCAACCGAAGCCTCTTGATCCCCTTGGTGCCACAATTGTTCCTTGTGTTTTGCCTTGGAAAATAGTCACACTGTAGTCTTCGGTGTCACCAGGGCAATAGGCAAAAGTGCATACTGCCTCTGCAGACTTGTCTTCCCATCCAGTTAGTAACTTAACCAGACCGTCAGGCTTTAGTTTATCCAAGAACCATTTTATGTAGGGTCCTGGCAACCCATTCAGCGCGTTAAAGCACAAAGAAGTGTCCTCAATAAGCACAGGCTTCTTTAGTCTCCGCGCAGCCTCTTGACACTTTTGAATTGAAATTTCATCGATCTCACCTTGAAGTTCTGGCAAGTCTAATTTATGGCTCTCTAATTCAAACGGAAAATCAGTGCCCAATATTGCTCTCACTTCTTCTAACTTCTTCGAATTGCTGGTGACAAAAGTTATGGTTCTTTTCGCCATTACTATTAACTTCATTCAGCATAAAGTATGTATGTATTGATGTAGATTTTCTTGCTCTAGTTTCGTACTAATGCGCATGACCATTTACTTCCACGATTATAATTACAATGATAAATTATTAGGTTATAATTTGTGTTGTAAAAATCAACAGAAAAAAAATAACGTCAATCTAAAGAAGAAATTAACTGCTATATTCGCATAGCGCGCTAATGCTATATGCTAAATTTTTTTGAGCGCTATTTAAAATGCTAAAATTAAGGCAGCTAAAGGTCGTGTTATACTGTAACGAATGGCAAGAAATAAGAAATATTTAATTAAGTATTTCATTGGTTACTAAGGTTAGGTATTTACACTATCGCAATTCTTAGTCCTGTCCTACTTTTATTTACAAATATTACAATAACCTAACATAAACAAATACACTTTAATTTAATAACACTTACGTAAATTATATTCCACGAACTAGTACTCGTCTTTGAAATATTATCTTAACTTATTCACTTCAATAAATAAAATTTTGCCAATGTTCCATCATGAGCTCAAAATCGTACTAAACCTAAAATAATTAAACCGTATCCAAAACATTATTATATTGCATTAGCGTATAGTGTCATTAAGCGCGAAGTATAGCATCAATAAACCAATGAACTAACGTTTCGCACCAGACGATAACGTACATTTATTATAGCAATAGCGCAGAGTATACACAGTGGGACGTTGCCTTTGAAGTCTCGCGAAATGCCGTTTTTCCCTAGACATTATGTCATACCGCAGGGTTGTCACCAAGTGTGTTTTTATAATTTAGCCTGTTGGGGAGGGTGTTCTACTACTATGCCCATATTGGGAATAAT